TGTAATGTCATTTTGATTTTAAATGGCATCCTTTTATGGGAACAAACTCCCTTGCTTTGCTTTTATCAATAAAACCCTGTTTCTCTTGTGACTCTGCTCACTTCTTGCCCTGGTATGCCTTGCTGTCATTGTGTCACTGCCCTTACTATCTCCTTGACCTAGCTTCATAGGCAACTTATTACCTACTCACTAACCATGACTCGAGATGGGACAGCCCGAGGGAGCAGGGCCTTATGGCCCTCACGTGCTGTTCCCTCTCCTGAAGTGTGTTCTCTTGCTCTCTCCTTGGCTGTGTGAATTCTCCATCTTCTTGCCTCAAGTGTAACATGAGAGACCTCATTGGCCCAGATCAATTGCCTATGGAGCCTACAAGTTTGCTCCCTGCATAAAAGCAGCCGTTCTATTCAGTTACTTTATACTGAGACAAGTAAAATTATCCACAGTCTTCATTCAAATTATACTGACATCTATTTTGATGGGTCAGTGCTTACGATGTGCACCCTGAGAAATATTTTGAATATCACCCTTGCATAGAATCTGGTTTTTCTTTATAGCAATTGTCACAATCAATTTGCATAGATCTACAGGAACACACATAGTGTGAAGAAGAGAGGGACTTTTCCTTTTTCTCTCTATAGCATATTTAAAATTACATTTATTTGTTGTGTGTACCATGGCGTTTGTGTAAAGGTCCAAGGTCAATTTTCAGGCGTTGGTTCTCTCCTTCTGTCATGTGGGTCCTGGGAATTGAACTCAGGCCATCATGTTTGGCAGCAAGTGCCTTAACCTGCTTAGCTGTCTCATCAGCCCCAAGTGATATATTTTGCTCATCACTGTATATGTAACACCTCATAAAGTAGTTAATACATAGCTAGTGGACAATGAATATTTATTGAACAAAATAAGTGAATCTAGTATGGCATTCTCTGATGAAGCTGGACTGAAGATAAGGTTTTGGGGCGAGGTTTTACCAGGATTGATAATAGTCTTGGGCAAAGTACATAGATTGTGTGGTTGGTAGGAGGGGACTGTTTGCTTCGTGTTTCTGTTCCTTTACTCATCTGAATTGCTGGAAGTAATAAGCAATCATGTGCCAAAAAAGAATTTGTTGCCTTGTCCCATTGTATTTTACTCACCGATCAGTTCTGTACATAGGGCAGATTCTGTCATCTCTCTTTCTCTTTAACAAAGGGTACCCAAAGTGGCTTTTCCCATGGAAGCCAGATTTGGGAAAGCTTCATAGGCCCAGTTTTTATGAGTTGTGAACAGGTGTTGGGTGTCGTGGTCTTTCCTAACAGGTTTTTTGTTGTTTGTTTTTGTTTTTGTTTTTGTTTTTGTTTTTTTGAGACGGGGTTTCTCTGTAACTTTGGAGCCTGTCCTGGAGCTCACTCCGTAGACCAGACTGGCCTTGAACTCATAGAGATCTGCCTGTCTCTGACTTTGAGTGCTGGGATTCAAGTTGTGCACCACCACCATCTAGCTATTATTTTATTTTTCAAATATGAGTGAACTATGGAGGCTGGCGGAGTGGTTTAGCTGTTCAGAGCACTTGTTGCTTTTGCAAAGGACCCAGAGTCAGTTCCCAGAACCTACATGGTGACTCACAGCCATCTGTAACTTCAGTTCCAGGGGACCCAGTGTCCTCTTCTGACCTCCAAAGGTACCAGGTACACACATGGTACACACATACAGATGTGCAGGCAAAACATTCATACACACAAGAAATAAAATAAGTCGGGTGGTGGCACATGCCTTTAATCCTAGCACTGGGGAGGCAGAGGCAGGCAGATCTCTGTGAGTTCAAGGCCAGTAGGTCTTGGTCTACAGAGAGGGTTCCAGGACAGCCAGGGCTACACAGAGAGACCCTATTTTGGAAAAAAAAAAAGTAAGTCAGGATTTTTTAGGTTTCCTGTGGCAGTCGCATGTGGCCCAGGCTAGCCTTGAACTTCTGATCCTTCTGCCTCTACTTCTGGAGTGTTGAAATTACAGGTTGATATTAACACAACTTCTCACTAAAAATTTAAAATTGATATTACTTTTGCACTTGCTCTTAGTCAAAAAGTTGAACAGTGTTTAACTAATTTTATTGGGGCTAGGGAGATGACTTAGCTGGTAAGAGCATTTGCTGCTCTTTCAGAGGAGCAGAGTTCAATGCCAGCACCCACATCAGACAGGCAGCTCACAACTCCGGCTCCCTCTTCTAGTCTCCGGAGGCATCCACAAGCACACACCCCACATGCAAAATTAAGTCTAAAAAATTTATTTTAAAACTTTAAATTAATTTAGGATACTGTATACATTAATGGTTTTCTTTTCCTTTTCTTCCCCCACCCTCTGTGTAGCCCTGGCTGTATTAGAAATCAATTTTTAGACAGGGCTGGCCTTGAATTCAGAGATCTACCTACCTCAGCCTTCAGAGGGTAGTCCTGGGATCAAAGGCGTGTACCACCATGCCAGCTCGATCAATGGGTTTAATCATGGAATCTTCACAAATCTTAAGTAATTTTATTTCTTTACATTTGCAACAAGGTCAAATACAGTACAGAGTGACCTGGAACTATTATGGAGTAAAGAATGATCTTGAACTTTTGACCTTCCCATTTCCTTCTTTCTTTCTTTCTTTCTTTTTTTTTTTTTTTGGTTTTTCGAGACAGGGTTTCTCTGTGGCTTTGGAGGCTGTCCTGGAACACGCTCTTATAGACCAGGATGGTCTTGAACTCACAGAGATCTGCCTGCCTTTGCCTCCTGAATTCTGGGATTAAAGGCGTGTGGCACCACCACCCGGCTCTTTTTCTTTTTTTTGAGGGGTATGATTGCAATTGAATACATAGTCTGTGCACTCTAAATACCTATTCTACAGAGCACTTTACTTAATACACAGCTATCTCTTCCTCACTCCCAAGCTCTCTTTTCCTAATTTTCTGTAGCATTTATCACCTTTCTAATAGATATTGTTTTTTATTTTCTTTATTTCTCATATTAATTTTTACTGTTTCCTTCCCTTCTAGAATGTAAGCTTTTTCAAAAGCAAGAATCTGTTACTTGATCTATCCCTGGGATTCAGTAAGTGCTTGGTACTCAGGAAATAATTGTTGAATGAATGAATGAATGAATAAAAATATAGATAATACCTATTGTGGAAGCCTAATAACAGGCAAAGTTCACAATGATCACCTTACAAATGTCAGGTCTCTATCTCCATTCTTCGAATATCTTCCTTACCTACCTGATGTTCTAGTCTCTCTTGAATTATTTATTGGTTTAGTTGTTTTTGAAATGATATCTCTGTTGCCCAGATTGATCTTGAACTCCTGGGTACAAGTTATCCTACTAATATGCATTACCATATGGCTTTTCCTGCATTCTAGGTGTGTGTGTGTGTGTGTGTGTGTGTGTGTGTGTGTGTGTGTGTGTATGTGTGTATGTGTGTGTGTGTGTTCTGGGAAACCAAACCAAGGGCTTCAGGCATTCTAGGCAAGCACTCTACCCCTGAGTTGGAGTCCCAGGGCTTAGTTTCTCCTTAGGAAAATCCTACAAAAGGTCCAAGCTATCTAAGAAAAGAAAGCCCAGGTGATCAGCTTTACCTATCATAACTCTAAACCAGATGTGGTGGCCTGGGCCTTTAATCCCAGCATTTTCAGGCAGAAACAGGCTGATCCCTTAATTTGAGGTCAGCCTGATCTTCAAAGTGAGTTCCAGGGCAGCCAGTGCGCTACAGAGAAACCCTGTCTCTAAAAAGAAGATGAAGCAGAAGGAGGTGAAGGAGGAAGAAGAGGGAAGGGAAGGGAAGGGAGGGAAGAGAGAGAAGGAAGGAAGGAAGGAAGGAAGGAAGGAAGGAAGGAAGGGAGGGGCTGGAGAGATGGTTAAGAACACTAAATGGGGCCGGGCATTGGTGGCATACGCCTTTAATCCCAGCACTCGGGAGGCAGAGGCAGGCAGATCTCTGTGAGTTCGAGGCCAGCCTGGTCTCCAGAGCAAGTGCCAGGATAGGCTCCAAAGCTACACAGAGAAACCCTGTCTCAAAAAACAAAAAACAACAAAAAAACAAACAAACAAACAAACAAAAAAAGAACACTAAATGGGGGGCCGGAGAGATGGCTCAGAGGTTAAGAGCACTGGTTGCTTTTCCAGAGGTCCTGAGTTCAATTCCCAGCAACCACATGGTGGCTCACAACCATCTGTAATGAGATCTGGTGCCCTCTTCTGGCTTGCAGTGATACATGCAGACAGAAAACTGTGTACATAACAAATAAATAAATCTTAAAAAAAAAAAAAGAACACTAACTGGTCTTCCAGAGGTCCTGAATTCAATTCCCAGCAACCACAGGATGGCTCACAACCATCTGTAATGAGATCTGGTGCCCTCTTCTGCAAAAACAAAAACAAAACAAAACAAAACAAAAAAAAAACTTAAAAAAAAAGAAAACGAGTTACAATTGCTTATCAAATTAGTAAATTGTCTTCCATAGAAACAGAATGGCCCAATGGATATGTAAATGTATCTGTTGTTGCTGTTAGCAACTTGTTGCAAAGATTTTAAAAATCAGCATAACTGAGATTTTTTCTCCATATATAGCACATGTTTTGAGTGAAATGTTTGATGAGTTTTGAAAAAATATTTGCTTTGATGAACAGTATTAAGATCACTTGGAATTATATAGGTCGAAACATTTAACAGAGATCCCGGTTATGAAAATGGAAATAAGGAATTCTGAGAAATAACCAAATGTGTACAGGTGGAGACAGGTCTGAGATTTGTCCTGGGGTCTCAAAGCAATAATAGCATCTGTAGCTCTGAGATGCCTGGTAACTTCAAGGCATCTTCTAGTCAGGCGCATCTTTTAGTCCCAGCATTCGCAAGAATAGGCAGGAGACTCACTAGTGAGCTCAGCAATAGTGATCTACTTTGTGACTGAAACCCTCCCTAAAACAAACACAAAACAAAGGGGAGGGGAAAGTACCTTTTGAAAGAGCCAGCTGCCGGTTTAGCCACTTTCACTTACGTTTATTAGGTCACGAAGCGACAACTGGGATTGACTTGTGGCTTTCTGCCCTGCAATTCTTTTTCACCAACTACGCCCCACATCCCCACCCACGGACAGGGGAGGCAGCCCCCAGACAGCCGGGCTTCCAGGACTGCTGAGGCACCCATCCCACCTGGCTACAACCTCTCTAAACCCCACTTCGAAACTGGATTAGGATCCGCCTCGACAGACGCAGCATCGCAGCGGAGAAAGAAAAAGCGCTGCACCTGGTCCCTCTTGGGGTCTGCCATCCTCGGGACTCCTGGGTCCCTCGGGCTCAGGGCCTTGGGGGCATAAATGACTCAATCCATCTACCGACCAGCCTCGATCTCCCTCCCCTGTGGGACTTAAACCCCCAAGTAGTTTCAGGTTAATTTTTTACTTAGAGACCGCGATTCTGAATCCAGAGTGGGAAAACTGAGACAGAAAAAGGGGTTCTGCGTGACGGGTCAGACCCTGGAGGTACCTTTCGAAAAGCCCCAGACTGCTCAAGCCAAACCAAGAAGAAACCCCTTGGGTCCTGGCAGGAAGACGGAGAGAGCAAGGCACCGCCCACGCGACTGGGGAAACTTTGGGGCCGTGCCGGGGGCGGGGTCCTAGTGGAGGGCGGGGCAGACCAGGACCGCGGGAGTGCCAGCCTAGGCTTGCACAGCAGAGGTGGCAGAGGTGGCCCTCGCCTGTGGTCTCAGTTCTGCTTGTGCGCGACTTTGGCACCATGGAGGGGACCCAAGAAGCTCTGAGTGGGAAAATGCGGCTCCTTTTCACCCCTGCTGCTCGGACCAGCCTCCTGATGCTCAGGCTCAACGAGGCGGCACTACGGGCACTGCAAGAGTGTCAGCAGCAACAGGTGCGGCTGGCCCCCAACCTCTTCTTCCCATCCGGAGCAACCAGATTCGGCCTCAGCCGGCTCTATTGGAGAAGGGAAAGGGGAGGAGCGGCTTATGCAGGTTTCAGCCTCCCCGACCTCTCCAAGTGAAGCCCGCCAGGCAGGTGTCCCCACCCCAACCCCCTCTTCCTGGGAACTTTGCTTCCTTTGTCCTCAGCTAGTGCTTGGGCTCTCCCCGCAGGTACGGCCAGTGATTGCTTTCCAAGGCCACCGAGGGGTAAGCGCGGACCGGATGTGTGAGGGAGGTTGAGGGTGAGGGAGCATAGACGTGGGCTCCGGGAAGGTGCGCTCTGGGCCGGAGCTTGCCAGTGGTCACGGTCTGAGAAAGTTGAGAACTGAACCCAAAGAGGGTGAGGGGTTGACGGGGCTATGGCCCCAGGAGGCTGAGCATTCTCAGTCTCTTGGGGAACTCTGACCCAGCTGCACCTGGTGTGCTAACGAGCCCCTTGGGATCTGTCTTCAGTCTTAGACTTGTTTGGAGAGGAATGGCATGGGCAGGAGGAGGAGGGGCCAATTTAGCGGGGCTTACCATCTCCTTCTACCCCAGTATCTAAGGCTCCCAGGCCCTGGATGGTCCTGCCTCTTCTCCTTCATAGTATCACAGTGTGGCCAAGAGGGCACTAGTGGTGGCTTGGACCTTGTGTACCAACGCTTAGGCAGGTAAGAGAAAACAGACAACAGGTAGAAGTTTGCAGAAAGTGGGAAGAACGGGCGGGCGGTGGTGGTACATGTGCATGGCAGAGAGGCGGATCCCTGTGAGTTCCTGTCTCAAAAAAAACAAAAAGAAAAAAGATCTTCAACCCATTTTTTCTGTTTTTTTTTTTTTTTTTTCCCCACCACTTCTTGCCAGATCTGGGCCTAACTGTCTCCACTGCCTGGGCTCACTCAGAGAGCGACTCACTATTTGGGCAGCCATGGATACTATCCCAGCTCCACTGTTAGCTCAGGAACACCTGACTGAAGATACTAGAGAGTCCAAGAGTTGGCAGGATGCAGGAGATGATCCTGAAGGCCATCCCCAGATGGCACTAGAAGAGGTGAGGCCAGAAACAGCAGGAACTCAGCATAAGGTGGAGTACCCAGGTCCAGGGAGCCAAGTGTTCTTCCTAACTTCCACTGACAGGTGTCTGATCCACTGGCAAGCAACCATGAACAATCACTCCCAGGATCCTCCAGTGAGCCCATGGCACAATGGGAAGTGAGGTACTGGGACAGGCTGGGTCTGCTCTCCACCCTTGCATGCTGTAAGTAAAACAGAGGCCCATGTCTTACCCTGGTCTCTCCCATTCCTTCCAAAAATCCTAGGAACCACACCTACCAACCAAACAGAGAGCCGGACCAGCCACTGCCTTCCCCTGCCAGCCAGAAACGCCTGGACAAGGTAAACAAGGACTTTATTCCCTTTTTGGAGACGGGATCTCACTGTGTAGCCCTGGCAGGCCTGGAACTCCTTATGAAGAACAGGATGGCCTCAAATTCAGAAATCCACCTGTCCCTGCTTCCTGAGTGCTGAGATTAAAGGCACGAACCAACATGTCCAGAGAAGCAAGAGCTTTTCAAAGAGTAGTCTAAAGGGCTGGGGTTGTAGCTTGGTTGATGCAGTACTGGTGCAGCATAACTCTGGCACATGGGTATAAGAGAGGTCTCCAGAGGAAGGAGGGAGCATTTCAAAGCCATGCTCTGCTACACAGCATAGTGAGTTTGAGGACAGCTTGGACTACCAACCTAAGGTCTGGTCTCAAAAAAATAAAAAAAAAAGGCTTGGGAGACGATTTATCAAGTGCCTTTACTGTTTTACTGTGCAAGAAGCATAAGGACAGGACTGAGTCTGAATCCCCAGCACCTATGTAAAAGCTGGACAATATGTCCTGTGCCTGTACCTCCAGCACTGGGGGGATGGAGACAGGCAGATCTTAGGAACTAGAAAAAATAGAGCTTAGGCTTAGTGAGACAATAAGGCAGACAGTGACAGAGGACACCTCATGTCCTCCATGGGGTGCATGCCAGCACATACACAAGAACACAAGAATATTTTTTTAATTAGGTAAAACTTAAACTTAGGACCTTATGAAATAGCACTTTTTTTTTTTTAAGATTTTATTTATTATGTATACAGCATTCTGCTTCCATGTATATCTGCACACCAGAAGAGGGCACCAGATCTCATAATGGATGGGTGTGAGCCACCATGTGGTTGCTGGGAATTGAACTCAGGACCTCTGGAAGAGCAGCTGGTGCTCTTAACCTCTGAGCCATCTCTCCAGTCTGAAATAGAACTTTTTAACAAACGAGTAAGAACCTCCTAGCTGCTGGGTGGTGGTGGCACATGCCTTTAACCCCAGCACTTTCGAGGCAGAGGCAGGTGGATCTCTGTGAGTTCGAGACCAGGCTGGTCTACAAGAGTTAGTTCCAGGACAGCCTCCATAAGCCACAGAGAAACCCTGTCTCAAAAAAACAAAAAACAAACCCCAAAAACCTCCTAGCCTGCTGTTTATGTCACACAGATTTTTTTTTCAACAGAAGCGTTCAGCACATATAACCACTGAAGAACCAGAAGAAAAGAGGCTCAGAGCTCTGCCTCTAGTGCCAAGTCCGCTCCAAGGGCTATCAAATCAGGAATCACAAGAGGGAGAAAACTGGGTGCCTGATGAAGATGAAGATGGAGATTCCAGGCTGGAGCAGAGTCTCTCAGTTCAAACAGGTGAGTTAACGAAAGAAGAGTGAATACCGGTGGGAAAAAAGACCCATAATTGCTTGTTTTCTTGCTTCCTTCCTAGCCTCTGAATCCCCAAGCCCTGAGGAGGTGCCAGATTATCTCCTGTAAGTTCCCCACACTTCTAGTTTCATAAAGTTTGTATAGGTAAGCAGCCAAGGACTTTTTAGGGGCAATGAAATTGAAGGTGTCACCTCTCCTTTAGGCAATACAGAGCCATCCACAGCGCAGAGCAGCAGCAGGCCTATGAACAGGACTTTGAGACAGACTATGCTGAATACCGAATCCTGCATGCCCGTGTTGGGGCTGCCAGCCAGAGGTTCACAGAGCTGGGGGCGGAGATCAAGAGACTTCAGCGAGGAACTCCAGAACACAAGGTAAAGGCAGGATTCCAGTTTACTGGCCATTATCTTCCTGCTCATTACCCACAAACATGTTTGTTTAGTGAGTAAGCATAGAGACAACAAGCAAACCTGTTTGTTGTGTAGAATGAAATCAGAAATTACTTCCATTTCTTAACTTTTTCCTCTTGTCCCTTCCCAGCAATTTTGAATCATAGTTCTTTGTGTTTCAGGTGCTAGAAGATAAAATAGTCCAGGAGTATAGAAAGTTCAGAAAGGTAAGACAGGCTGTGAGTCAGAAGCAGTAAGGTATAAGTCGTTTTACTTTTTGACATGAGTGTTTTTTCTCTGCAGCGGTATCCGAGTTACAGGGAAGAGAAGCAGCGCTGTGAGTACCTGCATCAGAAACTGTCCCACATTAAAGGTCTCATCCTGGAATTTGAGGAAAAGAACAGGGGCAGCTGAAACTCCAGAGGACTCTTGAGCCTGTCCCCAGTGATGAACAAAACAGCTACCAGATGGAACACATTTGATTTTCTGAGTTTGGCCCTTCCGTCCATGGTGGCAAGTAGAGTCATGCTAGGTTCTTGAAGTTTGATTTTTGTTGTTGCCGTAAATGTTTGAGGGTGTGGGCATGGAGTCAAGTCTCCTCAATTGTGCCCAGGAGACTAGGAAAGTAGCAGATGCTTGGCTTCTTCAACTTTACCTCAGCAAAGTCATTTTCAGACCCTGAAAAATGACATTTCCAGGTCAACACACACTTTGAGAATATTAAATGAGTTTAGCTGAGTGACCTTGAAGGAGTGAAATGAGAACTTGTGTTACAGCATACCTAGATGTAAGGGAAAGGGCTTGCTTGGAGTTACTGCTACTGTAGTTAACATGGCTGAAAAATGAAAACCAATTGCTTCTGTGTCTTGTGTGATCATTAATCTTAATCATCCAAGGCAGTGCTTTATATCTGACTTTCCTTGAGGCTCTCTAAAAGACTGAATCCCCATGTTCCAGCCCAAGAGTTGTGAACTGAAGCCTCCATTATTATGGTGATCTTACTGTGCTCTTATTGGCTAGACACATGCTCTACCACTAAGCAATACTACCTTCCCCTACTCACATGTTTTTAAAACATTATGGATGGGAGCTGGAGAGATGGCTCAGAGGTTAAGAACATTTACTGCTCTTCCAGAGGTTCTGAGTTAATTCCCAGCAACCACATTGTTGCTCATAACCATCTATAATGAGATCTGGTGCCCTCTTCTGATGAACAGGAATACATGCAGACAGAACACAGTATGTATAATAAATAAATAAATCTAAAAAAAATAAAAAAAATTAAGAAAACAGCAGGGATTATATTAAGATGTTTCATTTTGTGTGTTTAGAGTATCATAGAATTAAGGCTATATACCTAGAATGATCCAGGGCTGAAAGTTACAATTATGGACAAGAGTCTGATTTAGCTATAAAAAGAGGGCCATATTTTAATTCATTCAAAAAACAAAAACAAAATAACAGATTTCTATAGGCTATTGTTCCTCTTGCCAGGGATGATGTTTCTGTTTCACTGGAAGGAAGTTAATGGCTACACCCAAAGATCTGGGGAGACCTGCACCTAGCATTATCAATATGGAACCCCAAACTGATGTCACATTTGTACAAGACATTTCTGGGCAGGACAATCCTCAGGAGGTATGAACATGCAGAAAGCTTGGCTTCATGGCAAAGATAAGCAGTATCCATTTTTAGGACATAAACAAGGCCAAAACAACTGTAATCACAGTACCTGGGGGCTGACTAGGAAGGACTGTCACAAGTTCAAGGACAACCTGGGATTCAGGAGTCTGAGAAATTAAAAGAGATGGTAACTGGACCAAGTCAGTCTGAGGCTACAGGGATCAGCGTAGCAGGTACTATGAAGCCTTAAAATTGTTTTTAATTTCACATGGCTCAAGAAGCTAGCCTCAAACTTGTTACATAGCCAAGGATGACCTTGAACTTTTTGTTTTCTTGCTTCTACCTAACAATTGTTGGGACTACAGGTGTGTGTGTCAATAGGCCTGTCTCAGCTATAAGTATTGAACAGCACGGATCAACATATCAAACACTTCTCTCACTGAAGAAAGCTCTATAGTAAAGTTTAAAGACCCTGACTCTCCATTCCACGAGGGGAAAAAACACGACAGTATAAAGGGGGCACATTTATTGTCACTGTTCCAAATGTACAAAAAAAATTAGAAAATAACCCCCAACTCAATTCCCCCCACCCCCACAACATTCTTCCCAACACAAATAATTTTTTCCCCAAACCACAAACATAAACTGGTCCTGGTATTTTCATAAACAGTGCAGCTAAGAAACAGTTTAGAGAAAATTTAACAGGATTCAGAGTATATCCATTCTGTCCTCTGATGGTTTTGCCATCTCTGGTGTAAGAGTCCTTTTACAAAGTGGCGCATTTGGCTGTTGCTTTAGAGGTCCTCTTGTGCCTTCTTCTTCTTCTTGGGTTTTTCTTCTTGAATTATAGGGGGGGTTGTAGCTTCTCGTTGTAGATAGTTAATAAAATCATTTAATTCACGGCCACCCTGAAAAAAAAAAAAAGGTTATTTTAACTTTTAAAAAGAATTCTAGTTAAGGGCCAGTCGAAAGGCTTATGGGAATTTGATCCCAAGATACCAAATGACAGGAGGAAAGAACTAACTCCCCAAAGCTGTCCTCTATCACACATATTCCTACCGTCACAAATAAAACGTAAATAAATGGACCAATGAAAGAACTAGGTATGGAGCTGGAGACATGGCAGCTCACAACTGTCTGTAATGCCAGTTCCAGGATATTTGACACCCTCAGAGGCAAAACACCAATGCACATAAAAAAGAAATATATAGGAATGGGATTTAGCTTCTTGTTGGCTGGTGAAAAGTAGATGGTAGGAAAACTAGAAAAAAGAAGGAAAAAGTTTACCAATTTCAGGTCTCAGAGCAACCTTAACATATACCTGTCTGAGTGTTCCAAGGACCCCTTTTCTTTGTGGTTTCTAATCTGATTAGAGGTTACTCTCCACGAGTGCCTAAATTATACCCTCAGTTTTTCTCTAACTTACAAGAAATCACAGTTTTTTTTGGGAATCATACTGGGGTCACCCATTGCAGAAATGCATCTCCCTCAAACTATCAGCAAGGAAATGGTTTATGGTTGCTATTCAGGTGGGTGAAAGCTAGGTTAGTTTGAATTCAGGTGAGGCCAGCCTAGGCAACAAAGTAAATTCCATTTCTAAACAAAAGCACCTTCCATCAACTTACCCTTTGACTTCATATGGAGAAGGCACATCATTAGCTGTGGCATCCATCTTGGCTATAACAATATTTGGGTCTTTGCTGAGCTGTTAATAAAAAAGTCACACATTAAAAAAAGCCAACAATGAAGAACTTCATCCCAGCCCTGAAAAAGCTGAGGTAGGGGCAATGCCACAAATTCCAGACTGGCCTGAGCCAAAGTGTGAAGCACACCTCAAATGCACATGCACACTCCTACACACTCCCTTGGAGACAGAAACAGAACTGTTGCCAGTTCCAGGCCAGTCGAAGTCACACAGTCTGAACATCATTCAAAATACCTGCTATCAGTCCAGGCCTACTGGCCCATGCCTTTAATCCTAGCACTTGGGATGCAAGCCTGGTAAAGCTTTCAGTAACAGGTACTTACTGGTTTACGACTTAAAGACAATTCTAGCCTATTACCTGTGTTTTATTAAAGGTTTTGCTTAAGTGAGAAACATGTGTGCACCAACATGGCCCGGCTTTATTGGTTCCTATACAAGACTTATATAAGGCCAGGCCTAGTCTTTCCATGTGGGAGGCTGAGCACATGCTTAGGCTGCTCTTGGACTATAAGACCCTGTTTCAAAACAAAACACCAAGATTACACATGGCCACCTTTAAATTTACCTGGCTCATATTACATTACAAAGGAAAAACACGAAGTTTTTTTTAAAATGAAGGACTATACGAATTCAGACGCCATCACCATAATTCAGAAGATTCCAGACATTTCTAACCATGATGTAGAATGAGCCTGATTTATGTTTAGTGGATATCTTTAAGTTCTCTATAGGCTAGGGGCAGTCAAAAGCAAACATGTAAACAATAGTTGGGAAAAAATAGGAACTAATTAAATCCATGGTTAAAACATATATAAACTTCCAGTTCCATTTTATATTCAGAAGAGGTTCAGACTTACTTTCTCTCCCAGTTCTTTATATTTGGGCTCCAGATTCTTACAGTGACCACACCAAGGGGCATAAAATTCAATCAGCACATCCTTATCTTCATTATTCACTATGTCATCAAAATTTTCTGCTACCACAACCTAGAAAACACATAAGATTCTCTTGTCATAAGAAAGCCGAAAATAAACCCACAAGCTAACTCTCCCTAATTTTTATTACAACATTTACACACCTGTAAACATGGTGTTATTCCCCATTAATCAACTTACCCTCACATCTATCCCTATCAAACTATGTTTAGGAAGCCATAGCAAATTAAAAAAAGAATTATAAATACTACCTAGTAGTGGTTTTCTTTCTTTTAAAAATCTTTTACTCATGGGGCTAGAGAGATGGCTCAGTGGTTGAGAGAGCATTGACTGCTCTTCCAACAATTCCCAGCACCCACATGGCAGCTCACAACTGTTTACAAGTTGTGAGATCTGTGTAAGATCTGATACCCTCACACAGATCTACACGCAGGCAAAAGACCAATGCACATAAAAAAAAAACCAAAACCCACAAACAATTTTACTCACTGTGTGTATATATACATAAATATGGACTTTCTTCTCTCCTTCCACTGTTATGTGGGATAAAGAGATCAAACAGGTCTTTAGGCTTTTGCATCAACTGCTTTCCCCACGAAACCACCTCTTGGACCCATAGTGGTTTTCTTGGCTGGGGATATGGCTCTGTGGTAGGATACTTGTTTAATGTGGGTTTGAGCCCCAGCATTAAAAACAAAGAAACGTCAATAGGTTTTTTGTTCAGGCCTATCAACGTTTAAGATTCAGGAAGAGACCACTGCAGATAGGTGAGACCTCAGGCAACACAAACCTTGACAGGCCCATCGTTGGTCTCTGGGATAGGTTCAGACTTGAGGTATCTCTTCAGGTTGCCATCAAAGTAATCCTGCAGGAACCGCTCCAGAGCCTTCCCGTCCCTCCTGCAAATGCAAAGAGAGACTCTCACTGGAACTCATGATCCTTTTTTCTCCCGCTTCCACCTTCCAAGTGCATGTTGGAATTACAAGAGCATACCTCCATGCCCAGCCTCCATCTAGGACTGCTAATGAATGGAATTATGCAAGAATTGCAAGCTGCTACCCTTGTTAGTCTACAGAAATCACATTCTTTAAGATTCTAAGCTGAGAAAAAATGATAATCACAGGTCTTGCTTGGAGATGTCTCCCTACCCCAATGTCACTCTAGCTTTGTAGTGTTTAGGCTTTAATGATTTTTGAGCCAAATCCTGAATCAATGCCAAGTAATAACTTACGAGAACTCTTCCTGCATGACAAACTTCTCTCCTTTAGCAGTTCTGATTGCTACAACAGGAACCTCTCCAGTAGTGCTTTCTAAGCCAAAGTCGGACAGCTCATGGCTAAAGGTTTTACGGCTAGCTACAGCAAAGTTGAGTTTGTGTCCAGCATCCAGGAATTTTTTTGCCACCATCATCACTCTGTGAGGAATAAATAAAAGAAATGTAATAGTCAAACAAACCATTTTTTTGTTTGTTTGTTTGTTTTTTTTTGAGACAGGGTTTCTCTGTATTGCTTTGGAGGTTGTCCTGGAACTTGCTCTGTAGACCAGGCTGGCCTCAAATTCACAGAGATCCGCCTGCCACGGCCTCTCAAGTACTGGGATTAAAGGTGTGTGTCACTAACGCCTGGCTCCATCTCTTTTCTTTTTTTTTTAAGAACTAACAGACAGGGTCTCTATGTAGTCCTGTGTGTCCTGGAGCATGTAGAGCAGGTTGGCCTAAAACTCACACAGTGTTAGTATTAAAGGCATGCATCACCTTGTCAGGCTAAGTCTTTGAAACCAAGAAGCAGGAAGCTAAAAGGCAAAAAATTCTATGATCCATTCAGCCTTCTGGAATTAGCATGAATTTATAAAACCAGGCACTGATTATGTTAAAATTTTGTGGCTTAGTGACCTTAGCTCTTAAGCGGTGGTGGTACCTATTGCATTTGATAGAAATTTTCCTATACTATTAACTATAAAATTTATTGCATGCATAAAAGTGACCTGAAAAGAACATTTATAGGGTTAAAACACAACCAGAGAATTCATAAAGAAGTGGGTACAATGTTGTAAGTGTACTGTACATCAGACTTACACCTTTCACCATACAGCCTGGAGTCAATGTAGTACAGCAAAGAACATAGAATTCATGTCCAAAAGATTCTGTAAATAGTGTTAGTGGTCCTTATGGCTTTAAATGCAGCTTTTAAGACAGAGTTGTAGGCTGTCCAGACTAGCCAAAATTCAGTACGTAGCATGGTAACTTTAAATTTTTTTTAAATAAGGTTTTTTTTTTTTTTTAAAGATTTTATTTATTTCTTATGTATACAGTCTTTACAATCTTCTGCCTGCATGCCAGCAGAGGGCACCAGATCCCATTCAAGGTGGTTGCTGGGAATTGAACTCAGGACCTCTGGAAGAACAGTCAGAACAGTCAATGCTCTTAACCGCTGAGCCATCTCTCCAGCCTGGTAACTTTAAATTTTGATTGTCCTAAATGCTTAGACTACAACCCTGTGTCACCCACCAGTTTTAGATGGGCATGTACACATGCATGCACATGTGCTGAGAACCAAACCAAGGGCTTTGTGCACGCTACGCAACCACCGCACCAACTAAGGCACGCCACATTCCCATTTTCCTCCAATCTTATATCCCAGAACAACAAGACAGTTAGAACTGTTCACATAATAGGTAAGCATGTCTACACAAAGGAAAAGCATGGTTTTTATTACCTGTTTCTCCAATAGTTGGAACCTTTAGCATTCTTTTCATAGTCAACATCATAGTAGGCTGTAAGTAAGTCCTTGCTCTGTATCAAATCTTTATTGTCTTCTGTCATATGAGGACAGATACCAAAACTGAAATGAAACAATACATTAGTTTTGTCATTTTCTAGCTGTACTATGGAAGTATCAAAGTGATAGGAACAAGGAAAGAGGTACTTACATGCTTTCCTGGATAAACCTTTTTATCTTGCCACTGGTCATTTTCTGTTCAGTATATACCACAGTTTTGTCTTCAAACTTGTTAGCAAGATGTGAAGGACGAAATAAAGTGATCCCCCTTTTAAAAAAAAAAATGTTTTAAGCATCAGATTTCATTTAAAACTCAAGATGATTTAATTCCAGCTATCAGAAAGCAGAGGCAGTTGGATCTCCATGAGTTTGGGGCCAGCCTGGTCTACAAATCAGCCAGGATTACACAGAGACTGTGTATCAAAAAAGAAAAAACTGAGACAAGATGGACACTGTGTGACATACCTGTAACCTTTGCACTTGGAAGGTAGAGGCAGCAGGGTCACTATAAAGAGATCCTGTTTAAAGCATTCTGACAAAGTTCATTGGTAGAGTGCTTGCCTACCACCTTGGGTTCAATTCTCGGTACCATAACAGAAATAAAACAACTACCTTTTTAATAAGTAAACAAATGTATGGGCTGGAGAGTAACGGGGGTGGGGTGGTTGGGGGTCCTTCCGTGTATATGTTTGTCTTATTGGTTGATAAATAAAGCACTGCTGGACAATAAGGAAGCAAGATAAGTGGGGCTAGGAAAGAAGGAGGATTCTGGGAAATGTAGGAGAGAGGAGAGTCGCCATGTGATCCCAGGAAGATAGGAAGATAAGGCCGGCATCTTCGGTAGGATAAGTCCTTATAAAATATATAGATTAGTAGGGCTGGAGAGATGGCTCAGCCATTAAAGGCTAGGCTCACAACCAAAAATATAAAATATATAGATTAGTAGTATGGTTGACTGAGCTAGCAAATAAAAAATCCTAGTCATTGGCCAGCAGCACTGTAAATAATATAAGACTCTCTGTGTTAATTGGGGGTCTTAACGTGGCGGCGGAACCCAGGCAGCTGGCAGAAAGAGTTATTGTTACAGGAGAGATGGCTCAGCAGTTAAGAGCACTGGTTGCAATTCTAGAAGACCTGGATTCCACCCAAATAGCACCTAACAACAGTCTAACCCCGGTTCCAGGGGACTCTTGAGTTCTGAGGGCCATACATGCACATGATGCACAGACATATGTGCAGACAAAACACTACACATAAACAAATAAATAAAAATTAAAAAATGCAGGACAGTGGTTGCACACACCTTTAATCCCAGGATTTGGATTTCTGTTGAGTTCAAGGCCAGCCTGGTCTACAGAGTGAATTCCAGGACAACCAGGACTACACAGAGAAACTTTCCTATCTTGAAAAACAAACCAAAATTTTTCTCTTTATGCAGACAGGCTCTCCCTGTAGCATTTGCTGGCCTGTACTCACTATGTAGACCAGTTGCCTATGCCAGCCTCCCGAGTATAATTACATCTTTTTGTTTTTGTCTTTTTGAGACAGGGTTTCTCTCTGTAGCACTTCCTGTCCTGGAACTCACTATGTAGACCAGGCTGGCTTCGAACTCAGATCACCTGCCTCTGCCTCCCTAAAGGCTTGTGCAACCACCACAGGGCAATTAAAAAAATTTTTAAGTGTTATCTATGCACTACTTGCATGCCTAGTGCATACAGAGGCTGAAAGAGATCATCAGACGTTATGACCTAGAACTAATCTGGAACTGGTTTGTTCCTGGTTTTAAGATTTGGAAGTTAGAGCCATGTATGGTTCTGGACCCCTGCAATCCCAGTATCTGGGAGGTCAAGAGCATTAGTTCAAGATCAGCAGTGGTTCTGAGTTAAATCCCAGGGTGGCCACGTAGCATAACTATCTTAAAATAAAAATTAGACATATAGGGGCTGGAGATTTGGCTCGATGGTTAAAAGCACTTATTGGTCTTGCAAAGGACCCAGGTTCAATTCTCAGAACCCACATGGAGGCTCATCACCACCTTAGACATTAGTCATACACGTGACACAAAGATATGCATACACCAAAATAGAAGAAATTCATTCCTTACTCTTAACTCCCCTTTGAACTGATAAAAACAAACAACAACAAAACAACCCAAAGCTTATAAGGATTAGACTGATACTTGGTCCAACATCTTTAAAAATCAATAGCGAAACTAAAATTAGAATCACGGAACTAAAACAGAATCAAACTAAAATTATTCTAGTCATTTATTAGAATAAATTATAGCACAAGGTTTATTAAGTCCTTAATACCCAATGATTACTCTCAAAAGTGAGGTGGTAAACCAGCTTTAGTGATGAAGAGAATGTTACATTGCCAAATCTATGATACCAGGAACATCCTATGTGCTTAGACAGCTGGCAGTGAACTTGACAATAAAAGTCGTTAGAGCCTTTTCTATTTTGCTGTTGTTTTATGGTGCATGCTTTTAAACCCAGCACCCAAGCAGCAGAGGCAGGCAGATCTCTTGAGTTTGAGGCCAACCTGATCTACAGAGCAAGTTCCAGGACAGACTCCAAAGCTACAGAGAAACCCTGTCTCAGAAAACAAAACAAAAAAACAACAGGTGTACACCAATTTGCTTGGGCTTTTTTGTGTGGGTGCACTTTACTAATGAGCTCTCCCTCGAACTCTTATCTAGAATAATTCTCAACCTAACTGCCATACTCTACCAGGAAAATTTCATCTACCAAGAATCACCTCTTCCCTGGGCATGGTCCAGAGACAGCCTGCAGCAAGTCCAGCTTGATCTACACATGTCCATGTGGGTTCCCACAGAAGCCAAAAGAACATCTGTTAGAACCCCTGAAATAATTACAGCTAGTTATAAGCTGCCTGATGTGGTGCTTTGGAACTAAACTCTGGTACTCTGCAAGAACAGTACTAGCTCTTAACCACTGAACCATCTCTCCAACCCATACAGTCTTTTCTTTCTTTGGATTTTCAAGACAGGTTTCTATGTGTAGCCTTGGCTGTCCTGTAACTCAATCTGTAGACCAGGCTGTGGTGATATTTTGTTTATGATCTAACAAATAAAGCTTACCTGAGGATCAAAGCACTGAGTTATCCACACTAGTTAGCCACAGAGGCCATGCAGTTGTGGCACACACCTTTAATCCCAGCACTTGGGAGACAGAGGTAGACAGATCTCTGTGAGCTCAAGGCCACCCAGGGCTACACGAAATTGAATCTGTCTAAAAGAGAACCAGAGCTCACACAAAGGTGATCCCAGCACTTGGGATCACACACTTTTAATCCCAGCACTAGGGAGGTGGAGACAGGAGTGATATGGCTGGGCAGAGAGAGGAATAAGAAGCAGGAAGGGACAAGAGAGAGATGCAGTCTGAAGATTCAGTAGAATTAAAAGGTTTCTCTAGTGGTTGGCTGCACTGCTTCTCTGATCCTTCAGCTTTTACCCCAATAGCTGACTTTGACTTTTTATTATTAAGATCAATTAGAATTTGTTCTACACTAGGCTGGCCTCGGACTCAGAGATCTGCCTGCCTCTGTCTGTCGAGTGCTGACTAAAGGCATGAGAGGTCATCAGCTGGTCCTATAGCTTTTTCTAATACACCCCAGTCCACAAAAAGGGGAAAAAACTCCCCCGTTTTATATATTTCAATAACAAATTACAATATAATACTTTCATTTCTATGTATATTTGCTTATATACCTTCTCCTTCTATAGATGCCCTTCACAGGAAAGTTTTCTAGACTGAGCTTACACAAACTAAGTAATAACAAAAAGGGTCATACATCTCAAAGCTCACAGTAAGAGATGAGGGAATGCAATCACTTACTCTCCATTATCATCATACTCCTTCACCAGAGACTCAACGTTGGTGTGTGCAAATCTGTAGTTATCTCTCAAGTTGCTGGCTGCTTTTAGGAATTCAGAGTGACCGTCACTGAATAAATCCCTGAAAAAGCCTGCATAGGAAATGTCAAACATAAGGAATAAATAAGTGTTAAGACTTACATTATACTTCTAATATTCAAAGTGCTCTGTCTGGTATGGATAAACATTTCAGTTTAAGACCAGGCTGCTTTGGACATCTGACATAACACTACACTAAAGACTTTTTTCTCCAGGGCTGGAGAGATGGCTCAGAGGTTAAGAGCACTGACTGCCCTTCCAGAGGTCCTGAGTTCAATTCCCAGCAACCACATGGTGGCTCACAACCACCTTGAATGAGATCTGGTGCCCTCTGCTGGCATGCAGGCAGAAGACTGTATACATAATAAATAAATAAGTAAAATGTATTTATTAAAAAAAAAAAAAGACTCCTTTCTCTACCCAATAGAGAAAGAGAGAGGATTTTGAAGAACTGAAGTCTTCCTTTGACTTCTCCAGAACAGATCTGGGCAAACTTCCTCACTTCTTAAGAGCCACTTGCCTCTGCCTCCTGAGTGCTCCCCAGTGTCATCTGGGGCCAAGGTTTTTTGTTTTTTTTTTTTGTTTTTGTTTTTGTGTTTTGAGACAGGGTTTCTCTGTGTAGCTTTGGAGCCTGCACTCGCTCCTGAGACCAGGCTGGCCTCGAACTCACAGAGGTCCGCTTGCCTCTGCCTCCCGAGTGCTGGGATTAAAGGCGCGCACCACCAATGCCCGGCTGGGGCCAAGGTTTTAATCTCAGTGTGTTACACATACACACCCACAAAATTTCTTTCAATTAGGTGTGCTAGTAAGCTTTGCACCTCTCCTTGTTGCATGCATTGCTTCCATGACATGCACCAAGGAGACCTGCACCAGAATTTAAAAATGTGTTTGCCATTGTCTTTTTTGAACATCTGCAACAATAAGGCAAATCCTTTCCTTTCTATGACTCAGCCTCAAGTATTTATAGCAACAGAAACTTAACCAAAAGTACCTATAATATTTGAAAATAGACACTGAAATTGACTATTTACTTGTATTCCCTTGCCTTAAACCTTGTTTGCAGTTTAACTACCCTGCTAAAGACTTAACTCTCAGGGTTAAAGGAGGGACAAACCTAGGATATATAGGTCAGTCACAGGATTGTTATGGTTGGCAAGAGGTGCACATGGAGCATTTGCCTGGCATGAGTGAGGAGGTTGGTTAAATTCCCAGCACTGTGGGGTAGGGGTGGAGGTAAGCCAGTGACACTCCTCTTCTGGTCTCTTCACTGAATTTAAACTTTACACCTCTAAGAATACAAACCCACACAAGACACCATTCTTTTGCCCTTTACAGTTTCTGACCCAGTTCTATCAGTTATCTTTTAACTGCTTCAAGCTTACATTAAGCTGCTTTAACTTTGGTTTCCCCAAACATGGAAGTTTTAAAAAAATCCAATCAACTTTGTGGTATAACCAGACATCTGCTACTTACCCACCACCGAAGCATCTTTATCACTAATGAACTTCTTAAATTCTTCCTCAGACCTGAGAGGAACCGAAGCTGGTCCTGCTTGTTTCTTCAAGTGGCTGACAATTCCATCTTAGAAGACAAAAATTACATTGACACATAATTTTTGAGAAGGTAAGGATTGGAATGATACAAAATTCAAAAGAATAAAACAATACATGGCTTTTTTTGTTTGTTTTTTTGAGGCAGGGTTCTCTGTATTGCTTTGGAGGTCGTCCTGGAACTCTCTCTGTAGAACAGGCTGGCTTCGAACTCACAGAGATCCACTTGCCTCTGCCTCCCAAATGCTGGGATTAAAGGCAGTATCTGGTTCTTTCCTTCTACCACCTGGGCTCTGAGGATTGTTATGGTTGGCAAGAGGTGCACATTGAGCCATCCTAACAGCCTTCAATCGTTGTTATAAGCGCAGAGTGGTTTTTTTATTTATATACAATGATTTATTTAACCCATGATAACTGGCAGACTTTTTAAAAAATGTATAAATTCTTCTGTCTACATGTCTGCCTGAATGCCAGAAGAGGGAATGAGATTTCATTACAGATGGTTGTGAGCCACCATATGGTTGCTGGGACTTAAACTCAGAGATCTTTGGAAGAGCAGCTGGGTGTTCTTAATCGCTGAGCCATCTTTCCAGGCAACTGGCAACATTTATTTCCAATTTTTTGCTTTTTCAAAAGATTCTATGATAAACAACTTGTCTGCAGGTGAATTCAAACAATAATCTGTAGGGTACATATCTAGAAAGCCTCAAAGAGCACAGCAATTTATTACCACTCCCCCCCCCCCCCCCCCCCCCCCCCCCTCCCCCCCCACTCTCTCGCCATCTCCAGCCTAGACCTTGAGCTACGAGATCCACCTGCCTCTGACTCCCAAGCCCTGGGATTAAAGGCATGAGACACAAACACCTGGTTTATCTATTTTTTTTTTTAAACCACTTTCTTAAATTTCAAATAGACAAGGACTTTATAATGTCTATCTCATAAATTCAGTAACATCTATTCTGTAAATAAATTTCCCATTCATATAGTAGCTCAGTGGTGCAGTGCTCATGAAGGCCTAAACAAAACCAACCTCACCCATATGTGGATTTTCATGTTGTATGGTTACCTTTTAAAAAGATAGTAGTAGGCATTGTAATGCAATGAGCACAAGATTTCTTTGCTATGCCGGGGACTGAACCCAGCACTCTGCACATTATTAGTCAAATACTCGACCACTATCGATAGCCCACACATATGTAACGACCGCCTTCCACCTTCCATCAACTAGAACACAAACTCCAGGAAAGGACCAGTGTTTGTTTATGAATACCAACACCTACTACCTCAAGACAATCCAAGGCAGGAAGATGGCACAAGCCTATAATGCCATTACTTGTAAAGCTGAGGCAGAAGGGTTAGACATTTAAACCTAAACCATGTGTAAGTGGTACATATCTTTAATTCCAGTATTTGGCAGGCAAATTCAAGGCTATCCTGGTCTATACAGTGAGTTCCAGGACAGCCAGAGGTACAGTGTAATCCTGTCTTGAAAATACACAAAGAAAGAAAGAAATGTAAGCCTCGCCTAGGTTCCATGCAATTCAGATCCTTACCGGCAGTCCTAGGCCCATCATAAGCACCTGCTTCTTCACCATCTCTAAATATTTTAAGGGTTGGGTAGCCACTGACTCCATACTTATTACAGGTGTTTGTGTTGGCAGTGCAATCAACCTAAGAGTAGATAGAATAAGAGTTACTTTATTATTTAAGTACCTGCAAAATACAATGACTGGCTAAACCCATAGAGGATCAACACTTCTTGTCATACTTACCACAGAGGTCATTAGACCTTACAGGTGAATTAGTGCTATCTAACTAGATCAGAACTGCCTAAGAGATGCTTTAGAATTCAGATTACTTGGCTTCATATAAAAATGTAACACTAATGACTTAAATTATTTTGCCAGGCTGTAGTGGCACACACCTTTAATTCTAGCACTCAGGAAGCAGAGGCAGACAGATATTTGTGAGTTCAAAGTCAGCCTGGTCTACAGAGCAAGTTCCAGGACAGCCGGAGCACCACAGAGAAACCCTGCCTCAAAAAACAAAAACAAACTACTAATCTGGTTAGTAAATAGACCTTTAAACTGGAACAACTGTTAGCTTATTATTTCAGATATTTCAGAATGACAACATTTATTAATCATTACTATTTTTTGCCTGTTTGAGACAAGGTCTCAGGTAGCTCAGGCTAGTCTTGAATTTCTAATCCTGTTTTTACGTCTCAAATGCTGGAATCATGGGTTACCACCACAGCTAGCTCTTAAAATTCTATAAAAATACCAGCCCTAAATTAACCAACCACTTGGCTACATACTCAGCAATATCCCATGTCTTTTTTTCCCTGATCCCATCACTATCATCAAGGTAGATTAGGGAACTCAATATTCCCTCTCATCCTTACAGTGTCTTTGTCTGCCCTTAGTTCTTATTTACCATGTTCTTTTTAAAAATCTTTTAACTTTTATTGATTCTTTGTGGATTTCACATTGTGTATTCCGATCCCACTCATCTCCTTGTTCCCTCTTACCCACCCTCTGCCCTTGCAACCACCCCCCACCCCACCCTGAAGAAAAACAAAAAACCAAACCAACCAAACAAAAAAGAATCTGGTGGTGTGAGTGTTAGCGAGTTGGATCTGAGGACGCAAAAGCAGATCCTTTGCTGCAGGCTGCATTGCTGCATTGCGTGATCTAGCTTAGGCAGACTGCAGAGCTCGCCCAAGTAGTGACAAAAGAAAGCTGGTGGGCTGACCAAACCCAGCTATTGACCAGGTCCAGATCCAAGGCTGTGAGTTGGCCCACCCCAACACCCACCATATCTATGAACTGCTGGAACATGTGAAGGGGACAAACCCACAGATCCAAAACAGCAACATCTCCACAACACAGAAAAACAGGATAGCCAAGAGGAAGCCTGTGAGAGTCCATTATCAGTGGTACTGCAGAAGTCAGAAGTCTTGAGCCAGACTCCAATAATGCATGGTAATGAATACTTTGAAGATGAATGAACTAAAGGGTAAACCGTGGACTCAATGGGCCACACTACAGCTTCCATGACAAGATTCCCCACCCCACCCCCTTAAATGTTTTGTTTTGTGTATGAGTGTTTTGTCTGCACTCTCATGTACCAGGTTCGAAGGCCAGAAGAAGGCATCATCATCCCTGGGGACTGTCAGCCACTGTCTGAGTACTGAGAAATAAATGAACCCATGTCCTCTGTAAGAGAGGCCAGTGCTCTTAACCAGTCAGCCATATCTCCAGCCACCCAAAATACTAGCTTTATACACTTGGGCCAGTGAAAAAAATGGCTCAGAATGTAAAGGGGCTTGTTCTCAAGCCCAAGGACTCACAAAGGAATATGCACACATGTCCACACATACATGCAATGAAAAATAAAATATTTCATTTTCCTTTTTGGTGAATCCACTTCTGCTCACCTTTGCTAATGGGACTATTCCTTTCAATCTAGTTGCTGCAGCTTCATACTCAGGGGCAAGCCTCTTGCAATGTCCACACCTATTTAAAAAAAAAAAAAGTCAGATTCTTAGTTTAACACAAACTTACTGATGTTTCTACCTAGGAAAAATCTGAAATCATACTACTGTGTTTTTTTTGAAGACAGGGTCTTGTTACATAATTCCCAGGCTGTGACCTTCCTTCAGCCCCTCTTCTACTGATTGTAGGTATGCTATACCAATATTAAACACCAAGCTATATCCCAGACCTCTGATATATTGAATAATGACTATTATGCTTCTTCCCCTGAGTTCTCTCACAAGTGTGTTTCTCCAGGTAGAATAGGGTGGTGTTTCAGGTGGCCAAAAGTACCTTTCTCTTTGGCTTCCTTTTGCCTTAGTCTTGAGAGTGCTTACTATGCTCAATCACATGTTAATTCTCTTCACAAGAATTGCTCTTAACTTGCTTGTTTACAACAATGCCAGCAGCAGGCTGAGTGATATTTATTGTGGCCAAAGTACAGCTCCATGTTTCTTTTCATTTTTGCTTTGTTTGAAACAAGGTTTCTCTATCTATACAGACCAGTCTGGCCTCAGACTCAGAGATCTGTCTGCCTGACTCCCAAGTGCTGGGATATTATAACAAACAAACAAACAAGCCAAAAACAACAAAAAAGATGTGCACATGACAATATTTTACTATGTTAAAATAATTGGAACCTGTGTTTTGCTAACAACTCAGATATATTCATTTACTATGCAACATTTAACGAATGCACAGAGTGAGACCAGTGAGTTAATTAGCAGTTAAAGTTACTGGCCACTGATCCTCATGAACTGAGTTCTGTCTCTGGGACTTATATGGCAGAGGAAAGATTGACTCCTCTGGCCTCCACCCATGCACTGTGGCATAAACAAATCCACATCTGCCATGCACACAAATAAAGAAAACTGCAACAAAATATTAAAAAAAAAACAGCATATTTTAAATGCATCTATGTCACTATTATGTGACAAACCATTACTTTATATCTAAGAAAAAACGTGTTAGCTGGGTGGCGGTGGTACACACCTTTAACCCCAGCACATGGGAGACAAAGGCAGATCTCTGTGAGTTCAAGGCCAGCCTGGTCTACAGAGTGAGTTCCAGGTCAACAGAACAGCCCAGGCTGCCTTAACAAACAAACAGCCAGATTTTTTTATTTTTATTTTTGTGTGCATGTTTATGAGTATGCCACAGGTGTGAAGGTGCCCATGGAAGCCAGAAAAGGGCATCAGATCCTTTGGAATTGGAGTCACAGGCAACTGTAAGGCCCCAGAAACAGATGCTAGATGTGGAATCTAGATTCTTTGCAAAAGCAGTATTCACTCTTAAACACTGAGCCATCTCTTCAGCCTGTTTTTGAGACAGTCTGTTAACATTCTTTCTCCAAACACACTTTTCAGAGGCAAAGTATCTTGTAGCCAAAAATGATCTTGAACTTCTGATCCATCACCATTTCCCAAGTTCTGGGATTATAGACATGTACCACCTTGCCTGGCTTCTTTCCTTCTGTTTTGTATTTCTGCTGCCTGTAGGGAGGTTACAGAACTCTTCAACTTTCTCAAAGTGATCCCTCTGCAACCCATTGGGCTTCTGAAGAGATAATGTACAGCTGGTGCTAGCTGTACACTGACAGAAATGCACCACACCTAAATGCCCGGGAAGCACACTGAACACCTGTGGGACTGTTAGGACTTGCTGGATACAAGAGCAGGTGCTTCAGCAGGTAGCCCTCTGGGAAAAAGTATACCAGCTTATGTTTCGACCAGCTCTCATGCTACCATCTTAAAAGTGTTTTCTAATGTGCTGAAGCTTGGAATGGGATTGTTTTTGTTTTCCAGCCCCCCCCTTTTAGTCTTCAAAGACAAGGTTTCTTCATGTAGCTATGTTACTCCTCCTTCAGCTTAGTGTGCCTAAATACTAAACTTAGCACTTTGTTCTATGCAGCGCTCCAGCTGGTTCTGCTCAGAGTTACACTGAAAGAAGAGGGGAAAGATACTTGATGCTGATTCATGGTGTCTGTCTGTCTCAAGACATGATCTCACTAGGTAGCCCTGGCTGGCCTGTATATGCAGACCTGGCTTCCATAGAACTTACAGCAATCTTTCTGCCTCTCTCTCAAGTGTTGGGATTACATGCATGTAGTACTACTCCAATTTCTAAGGGTTTAAAAGAATGAATATGAAAGGATACAATCTGGGTTTGGGCCTTTTAAGTATTTAGGCTTCAGAGAGGCAAGAGTAAGTTGAATAGCAGAGCTAATGTACAAGAAATTTGTGCATTGTGACTACAATCAGTAAATCTATAACACGGGAAACAGGCAACAGTCATCTACTAAAGATTCGCAGAACAGCAGCACAAGAGTTCATTTCCTCTTCTCTTTGGGGGCAGATCTTTTTAATGTAGCCCAGGCAGTTCCAAACTTACAATGCTCATGCCTTAGCTTCTGAAAAACTGAGCTAATAGACACATAATATCACGCCTGCCTCTTGCTGTTGACTTTCTATAGTAGTAACTGTCAAAATTAAAACAAAAGTTAACATCTTTACCTCAGCTATCAAAAAAGAAACCAACTTTACAAATATATAAAAAAAATCCAAAGAAGGTCAGGCGTAATAGCAGGTGGATCTGAATTTGAAGCCAGCCTTATCTACATCATGAGATCCTGTCTCCAAAAAGAGACAGCAATAAAATAAAAAAAAAATGCATGGTTCAATGCTAAGAACCCCCAAGAAGCCCTGCACAACGGCACATGCCTGTAATTCCAGCACTTTTCGAGTTGAGCTCAAGGCCATCAGATATACAGCCAGTTCGAAACCAAACTAAGCTTATAAACTCTATCTCCCGACCTGGAGGAGGGAAAGGGAGAAAGAGCGAGAGCAGATGGAGGTAGAGGGAGAGAAAGAAGGGTGAAGGAAGAAGATGAATTCATGCTGGGGACAAAGTTCAGCTGAAGAATGCTTCCTTAACGTGGAAGGCCTGGGCCTCAAATTCCAGTATTGGGGTGGGGGAGGCACAGAGGCAATGACACAGGTCAGCGGGTAACAGCATCTACTAACCTGCCCCACATGCCTGACAACTAGAGAGCCCCAGAATCCATGTAAAGGTGCAAGGAGAGAACAAACATCAATCTGTCCTTGACCCTATAATAACAGGCTGGAGTGATGGCTCACCAGTTAATAGCACTTGCTAGTCTTGCAGAGGATCTGAGTTCAGTTCCCAGCACCCACATGGTGGCTCACAACCATGTGCAACCTCAGTTCTAGTGTACTCGATATCCTCCATTCATACACATAAACCTCTCACAGGCAATTATCTGAATTCTTGGTCCCTCTTTGCTTTGGCAGAAGTATTTGGGAAGGACTGGGAGGTGTGTCACACGAGGTGGGGGTCTAGCTTTGAAGTTTCAAAAACCCACACCATTCCCATTTAATGCTCATTGCCTCAAGGTTGTTGTCTCAACCAGTGAGCAAAGCTCTCAGCTAGAGCTCCTGCTATGATGGTCATGGACTCTAATCCTCTGAAACTGTAAACCCCTAAATAAAACCTTTCTTTAACAAATTGCCTTCATCATGGTGTACTAGCTGGGCGTTGATGGCGCACACCTTTAATCCCAGAACTCGGGAGGCAGAGGCAGGAGGACCTCTGTGAGTTCAAGGCCAGCCTGGTCTCCAGAGCGAGTGCCAGGATAGGCTCCAAAGGTACACAGAGAAACCCACTCACGAAAAAGAAAAAGAAAAGAGGAGGAGGAGAAGGAGGAGGAGGAGGAGGAGGAGGAGGAAGAGGAGGAGGAATTACTAAGACATAACAAATCTGGGGAGAAACCAGTGTTGAGGCTGAGAAATCAGCCTCAACCCCCAACAGCATGTACACATACTTGTATGTGAACACAAATATATCTGCAAACACACAAATTTCCATTTTATATCTGCTTGTATTTCTCTAAACACTTAGAAACACTGTATAATATTATTTATTGCTCTTGTTGTAGAGGGTAACATAGTGTCAAGCACAGGTGAAAAGTCATGGGTTTGATCCTTAGCACCAGTGGGTAAATGTTCGGAGAATACCATAGAAATCTACAACAAGATGTTTAAGACTTAAAACACCGAAACACTGTGATTTCTCACAAAGAAATTCAGATAGGCATATTCCTACAAATACACAGGTTAGCCAAACAAGTAACTCCCACCTGTAATCCAAGTATCTAGGAGATGGGGATAGGAGGACAGCCCAAGGACAGCCTCCACCACATGAAATATTGTTTCAAATAAAACATATCTAATAATGGAAACAGTGGCCTGCAAAGAAATCTTTCACTTTCACTTACAAAATTAAAGGAGCAGAGAGAAGGGCAGACCTAAAAGAGGATGGAAGCTAGGGTTTTGCATCAGACAGGCAAACAATTTTATCTCACTGAACTGCAGCCCCTGACTCCATTTTGTCCCCCCCCCCCAAACCACACCACTTATTTCAAATTATGGGTATGTTCACATGAATGCAAGCATCCAGGGAGACCAGATATGCCAGATCCTCCAGTCCCCTAAAGTAGCCACACACACCCATGTGTAGCTGTTGAGCCATCTCTCCCTAAGGTGTATTTTTTCTTTATTTTTATGTGTATAGGTGTTTTGCCTGCATTATGTGTCTGTGCACCATGTATATACAATTACTGCAGAAGCCAAAGAGGGAACTGAAGTTACAGTTGTGAGCCACCATGTAGGTTGGCAGGTTTGAACACAGGTCCTCTGGAAGAACCAGTGCTCTTAACTGCTGAGCCATCTTTCCAGTCTCCATCTTACTGTTAAAGGTGATGTCTCAGGACTCAGAGGCATGTGGATCAGGTCCAAGACAGCCACAGCTCTACAGTGAGACCCTATCTTAAAATTCATTAACAGATCACTCTAACAGGGGAGAGCACTCCTATTATGTGCAAGAGGAAAAAGTAAATAAATAAAACTAAATCTCCAGAGCTTGGTGGGGCAGTTTATAATCCCAGCATTTGGGAGACAGAGGCACAAGGATAAGGAATTCAAGCCCAGCCTGAGCTACTTAGGACTCTATCATAAAAACAAGCAAGGAAACAAACAAAAAATAAATAGAGAAAGAAAGAAAGAAAGAAAATCCAAATGTTAAAATTGATGAGTATGTAGGAGTAAAGAAATTACTAACAGGAGACTTTTCCACTACAAACTGCTCGTTCAGAAAACCACTCTCTCTTGCCAGCAATGGGGGAGATGATTTTATCTTCTAAGCCTACTAAAAGCAGACACCACAGCAGAAATCCACCCCACTCTTGATGACTCAATGAATGATGGGATATGTAGTCTTGAGGAAAGCAGGTGCAACAATTTTCAGGAGAAAGACAAACCTGAAGTCAGGTGTGGTGTCGAATTCAGGATAGAGGCAAAAGGATCAGACTGAGGCCCATCAAGACTACACAAGATCCTGTCTCAAAAGAAAAAAAGGAGGCCAAAGCAAGAAGATCTTGAGTTAGAGGTCAGTCTCTACAGAGTGAGTTCCAGAAGTCAAGACTAAACAGAGGAACCCTGTCTCGGAGGGGGAAAAAAAAGAGCTTTAACAATGGCAATTTGAACATGCTAGGCAAGCACTGAGCCATATCCCAAAGCCTTAACTAAAAATTGCATTATACTAATTGTGAAACAGCCTACAATTCTCCAAATATATGACCCCTTCAGTCAAAGAAGCTGGACACCCACTCAAAGTTAACAGCATTACTATGTAACCATGATAAATTGTTTCTAACAGAGAACATGAATTTTAGGGGATGTATAAATGTTATCTATAAAGTACAATCAGTACTGACTGTTAGCCACAGAATGCCCTGAGCACAAAATATCCCAAGCTGAAGAACAATTTGCTTCCTGCCTCTAGTATATCCTTCTGATTCAGGCAATGTTCACTCGAGGACTTTTGAATGTGTCCCATCTAAGTCAGTCAGATAAACTTGAAATGTAGCAATGCCACTGGGTCAGAAGCAAAGACAAGTTATAGTGTAACTGTTAGACACTGTTTTACTGGTACTTTTGAATAGTTTTGAATCAAGGGCTATTGTACAAGGAGAGCAAAAAAAAAATACACATCTATTGAACTATTTCCGCGTTAAATTAATTAAGTTCGCTGTGGTAATAATTTTTAAATTACCCAACACACCACTTAAGTGACAAAACCAGATATCCTATTTGCTCTCCCTTCCCAAAAGAGTTCTTATGTGGAGGTCACACTTACTCTAAAGAAACTACCCTTTTGTTAGGTTAAGCGGTCCCTGAAGTGGTATACTCCTCCAACAGTGGTTACTTTCTCCTTGTGAGTCCTATCATTTTCTACAGTTACCTAAAGCTGACAATGATGATAGATTCTAGGGAAATCATTCATGTTCGTTTACTCTCTTTTTGATGGGTGCCTCTGCAGCTTAATGTAAGATATTGTATGCCATACCATGGACAAAATAATGGCCAGTCTCAAGGAAGCACTTAAGATGGTTCTGCAGCCACCGAGTGACCTTGGTTAGAAACCAATGGTTCTGGGGAGGGGACAAGAGAAAGGAAATACCTTGGGATCCAGGACCTGTACCTGTGCTCCTCCCTACGGCTCTGAGATGCCTGCCTAGTCTGCAGACCGGAGGACGTCTACACTGACTCACCTAGATACTGAAAGATATAGATCGGAGGGGGAGGGGATGGGTAAATCCTCCATAGGAAATGCAGCAACAACACGGAGGTTGGGGACGTGGCCCTAAGCGGGAACCTAGGCTTCTTCCTTTCCGGATCTGCCCCTGTCGCCACCCCCATCCCGGGACGGAGCGCCTCCGGGCAGCCACCGACTGACAAGGAGGCAGCCAGCCGCAGCCAGGCCCGATGGATAGTGGAGGGCGCCCGAGTTGCCTAGGCCCAACCGCTCCCGCGCCCAGCCGGTCCTCCGGCCCTGATCCCGCACAGTGGCCTCACCAAGGGGCGAAGAACTCGACTAGCATGAGGCCCGCAGAGCCCGTGTCGGAGACGCGACTCTCGAAGTTTTCGTCCGTGAGTTCCAGCACGTCAGA